GGGCATGCGACGGGGTTGCGATGGGGGGTTCGCTACGGGTCGCGAATAGTTTTTGTGACGTAGTAGTAGTAGGCAGTACATGACATTGTTACTACCAGTAGTAGTAGAGTGGTTAGTTGAACCAATCATGGATGAAAAGAGCAAATCATCAACACTTGTCTAGTAGTACTACTAGTAGTACCTTACTACTACTAGGAGAGCAGGAGGAGGCACTAGTAGTAGTACCTCACAGCTGTGACGTGGTACTAGTAGCTAGTACTAGTAGTAGTCCAACCAAAATGTGTGTACCACCAGCAGTACCAGCACCAATACTAGAAAAGACAAGAAGAAATGCAATCATATTTCCATTTTCTCTTGCTCTGTATTTGCAGTACTGTACTAAATCACTGTAAAACAAAAATTATAAGAAGGAACGAGAACCAGCAACAGCTACTATTTCCACCATAACCACCAGCATAAGCACAGAATAAAGTGTCCATAGTTATATAGTTTATTTCTACATCTTATCTCAACAACAGCAACGCAAGCGAGCTTTGTTAGTTTAGTGGTAAAATATCTGCCTTCCAAGCAGATGTCCTGGGTTCGATTCCCAGACAAAGCATTTGTTTTGTTTCGTTTTTGTCGATCGCGCTTGTAGAAATTTGTCAACGTTTTGGTGTTACCAGTTGTGCTCTTCGCAATGCGGCGACGCGGTGCGACCCAGCTCCACAGCTCCGACCGACCGACCTAGCCACCAGCCGCGAATCGCACGCAGATCTCCGTTGACAAAAAGACAAAGCTACCGACCGACCGACCGACCGATCCCGACACGGAACACGCCCGTCGGAGGTGCGATGCGCTTGGCGCTCGGTGAGGTGTTGCGTCGGTTTCATTCATGGCTTGTGGTGCAGCCGTTGCGGATCCGGTGGTACGAAACCGTCAATGGCGGGCATGCTACGGTACGGTACGGCACTCGCCCGCGATAAAATATCTGCTAACCAACCATGCTAGTGTAACGACTTTGACTAAAACTGTTTTGTACGAAACTGATGCGTTTAAAAAATAATAGAGCCTTGTTTCGATGAAACTCGATTCGATCCGATTAGATTCAACCGCGGCGGCGACCGACCGAGAGGAAAGGCTTCACCTTACGAGGCCGTCGCGGTTGGCCGTCAGAAGCACCTCGGAAGCGTCGAAGGCGTCCCTCTCCATAACGGCGTTGGCGCCCCCGGCCCCCTTCTTCTTCTTGACGTACTTGTTCAGAAAGCACAGCCCGTAGTGGTTGATGGCGGCGTGCTGGTCGGAAATGCCCCAGGGCAAATAGGTCTCCCCGGGCTTGGTCATCGATTTCGACCGGCCGCGCGCGTTGATCCCGTTTCCGTACTCGGGATCGTAGAGCTCGCAGGAGGTGAAGCTCACGTGGCCCCCCCGGACGAGCTCCAGCAGGTAGGCGTCGCCGTCCTCGTGGTGGTCGACGTACCTGCGGTTCGCGTCGTTGCAGTCTGGCCCGAGGACCGTGTCCTCGGTCCCGATCATGACCATCACGGGGGTCGACTTGTTCTTCCGGGAGGGCGTGTGGTAGTCCATGGTCCCGCTCATGGCCATGGAGGAGCACATCATGACCGCGGCGGTGATCCGGGGGTCGCCGAGCTCGAGGGTGGCGGCCGTGGTGTAGCCCCCAAAGGACATGCCCGTGATGGCCACGTTGTTCGTGTCGACGGCCCCGAAGAGCGGGAGGCCGGAAGGGTTGGAAGCGATCCCGTCCAAAACCTGCAGGACGTCCAGCGGTCGGTCTTTCTCCATGCGCTCCCGCTTGGACCGGGCCCCGCCGGGCGTGATGACCTCCCCGTCGACGATGGTGTACCGGGCCGATCCGGGGTGGTCGCAGGCCGCCACCACGTAGCCGTGGCTGGCGAGGAACTCCGTCCAAAAGCCGTAGGAGGCCCGGTAGGCACCGGACCCGTGCGAAAAGACGACCAGGGGCCAGCCGGTCCCTGGGTCGTCTCCGTGGTTCGGGTCCTTTTCGGCGACCCCCGCGTTCCGGACCGCCGTCGTCAGCCAGGTCGTCTCTGAGGGATCGTCGAGTTCCTCGACCGAGATCCCGTCCCGGTAGCCCCCGATGGCGGTCCTTGCGTTGGCGGCGGCCCTGGCGGCGACCGGATCCCTGGCTTTGTCCAGCCCGAGGTAGTCCGAGTACTTGGTGACCGGGGAGGCCCGGGAGGCCTCGGACGCCGGGTACCAGACCTCGGTCTGGAGGCCCCGGCCCCGCTTCGGGTCTCCGTCGATCTGGACGGTGGTCACCCCGACCGGGTAGGGGCCCATCGGCAGCCCCGTGAGGCGCCTGCCGATCTCCTCCCGGGGCATGCCGGTGTTCGTGTTGCTGATCGTGTTGCTAGGAGCCATTGTAGCGTCGCCGTCGCCGTCGCTGCCGTTCGAGGACAGGGACGAAAGGGAGCGGCCGAGTTTTAGGGGCCGGAACGAAAATCCTCCCCTGGAAGCGAGCGCCGGAGACGATCTCAACGCAAGCGCGCTGCTGGTTCCTCCGATCGACGACGAAGAAGCTGCTCTGAGTGCAAGGAAGACGGAAAGGCTTCTCATGCGGTGTGTGTGTGTGTGTGTGTGTGTGTGGCGTGCGGTGCGGTGTGTGGCGTGCGGTGCTGGTCGAGTCGTTTGTTGTGGATGTGGACTCCTCTGCCGGTCACCGGGGATCGACGGTGCGAATGGAATGGAAGACACGGGCTGTCTGGGCGAGGAAAGGACGGATTAGGTGGTGCGATTCGTTGCGAAGCAAAGATACTACCTACGGAGCAGGTACAGCGATGCGTAAGGGAGCGCTGTGCTGTATCATTCGGTACTGAACGTACGAGTTACGAGCATTCTGGTAAGGGATGACCAAAAAAGTAAGTACAGGGATCGGGACACTTCAGGATACGTACCATATGGTACTAACGTACTATATTCATCCTATGAGCATACCTGGGACGGTACGAGTACCTTCCTTTATGCAGGGTGTCTGTCCGTCCATTCAATGTTTCAAAATTCAAAATCACCCAGAAAAAAAAAATGATCACGAAGGATGATGGTTTTTTCCGGAACGAGGTGGATGGATTCGAGTGATGTGGGTGGGGACTCTCGGAAAATGCATTTCCAATTCTCTACGGTTCGTACATACCGTACTCGTACGGTTCCTGCTCCTACAACAAAACACAAGACAATCGACGTCTGAGATTGACTCGAGCAGCGAAGCACACTTGTCCGCTCGTTCGCAGACACAACAAAGAAAGAACAATGACCCATGCACTTGCTCGAACGCGTCCGATCCGACGACCGACGGCGCTGGTATTCGTATTCGTATTCGTAGTAGTTCTGTTCCTGGTGCTGTCCGAGAGAGATTTTGGCAGCCGTCGGGTGGATGCCTTGTCGTGCCCGGTGGGTGTTGCCAGGGATGGAGCCGGTCCCCGCCAGAGCCCGCTGAATCCGTATTGTTTGGGAAACAGAGACACCGTTGCCAACAACCGCAAGGCTTTGGTCCGGCGCCGCTCGGTGCTTCTCCGGAGCAGCACCGCGCCGGACGGCGGCGGCGGCGGCGAGCCAAAGAAAATCCGCCTCAACAAGGTCTTCAAGCGGACGCACTCGCGGCGGGAAGCGGACCGGCTGATCGAGGAGGGCCGGGTTTCCGTCAACGGAAAAAAGGTGGGCACCAAGGGAGGCTTCTTTGTGGTCCCCTACGTCGACGAGATCTCCCTGGACGGCGACCTCGTCGAGGGCTGGGAGGAAATGAACGGCGTCCAAGCGGCAAAGACAAAGACAACGACAACGACAAACCCCGCTTCCGCCAAAACCGGCGGTGCCCGAAACGCCGAGACCGCTCCGTCCGGCGGCAAACCAGGCGGCCGCGGGACCTTCGAGTACATCAAGTACTGGAAGCCCCGGGGGGTGATCTGCACGACGGACCCGAAGATCCCCCACAACATCGTCGACGAGCTGGCCATCGACGGCTACCACCCGCCCCACCGGGTCTACCCCGTCGGCCGCCTCGACAAGGACACCTCCGGGATCATCCTGGTCACGAGCGACGGCCGGCTCCCGAACGCGGCCCTCCGGAAGGAGCACAAGCGGCCCAAGGTCTACGAGGTCGGCCTCGACCGGCCCCTCGAGCGCCATGGACCCGTCCTGGACCGGCTCCGGGAAGGCGTCACCATCTCCACCGAGACGGTCCGGAACGGGGTCCGGAAGACCCTCACGGCGCCGACGGAGCCCTGCTCGGTGGAGCAGCTCTCGGACACGTGGATCAGGATCACCCTCCGGGAGGGCCGGAACCGGCAGGTCCGCAAGATGACGAGGGCCGTCGGCTACCGGACGGTGGAGCTCGAGCGGGTCTCCTTTGCCGGGATCCCCCTCGAGCCGGGACTCCGGGGACCGGGCGACTGGGACTACCTGGAGGGGGAGGAGCTGGAGATCGTCCTGGACATGATCGAGGTCGCCGAAGCGGCGGCAAAGGAGGCCAGCGAAGCGGTGCCCTCGACGAGCCAACGCCGGGACGACAAAACCACCGGTTGGGACGGCGAGGATTGGTAGACAAGAAAGGAACGAAACCCGGTGCGGCTCGATGTGATTCGACTCGACTCGATTCGATGCAATCCAATGCAATGCAATGTTGTTGGGACGCGCAAGCAAAAGTCTTTCCGGTTGGTGGGAACGGAGAGGAAATCCTTGTAGACGAGTGGATCGTCGCCACCCGCGTGGATTGGGTGTTTTCTCCAAAACAGGCGATCGACGGAAACGGACAATCCACACCAGAATGCACACCACGGCTCTAAAAATCTCGGTTGCATTGGAAAGCCGATATGGAGCTAGCTACTGTTTGCACCACCAGGGCCATTCGAGGAGATGAGATGAGATTCGATTGGATTGGAATCCATTCCATTCCATTCTTTTCATTCCACCCAGGAAGAATATCTAGCTGCAAGTTCCCTCGTGCTTGGCAACATGCTCTGTGTTGACTGCTGAACTGGTAGACCGACTCGCTCGCTCTGCTTTCGGTCGCCAGCCCTGTCGCTCGAAACCGCAGTCGTGATGGATTGCGGTGGACACACCGCTGCTACGGCAGTATCAATGCAATTTCTGTTCACAAGAGTAGTACCTGCGTTCCGGTATCTGCCTACGGTTTTGGGGGTTGCACAGAAACGAATCACTCTTGCTCTCTATGGTTTCCGCATGGGTGGGTTCGGTAGTGCTCGTGGTTCCGGAGATGCACCGCGCACCGGCACCGGTACCATCGTTGGGAAGCGCAGAAGATAAAAAAGAAAACAACCAGGTTCCAATATAATTACAGTGGAAAACACATCAACTCGACAATCGATTCCAACAGGTAGTTTTAGGCATACCGATCCAGAAATTTGCATTGTTTGCGTGTATGGACAAGGTTTTCTTGAAACCACAAGAACAATTCAATTTGTGTTGTACTACTAGTAATATCAACACAAACTAGTTTGATTGATCCAGAGATCTTTTGGTAGAGCACTGGTTGTAGATGCAATGCATCCTTGTCATCTGATTTGTACATTTTTCATCAATAAGAAGAAACAGACTTGTTGCAATACTGCTCTTGAAGGTGATGGTATCCAAATTTGAGGTTTTGGCAATAACAATCTTATTTGAGTTGTACATATAACAGTACTTGAGAGATGCTCCATGTTATTCTTTCTTCTTTGGAATATGAGTAGTAGTAGCAGTAGTAGTACTGGTATGCAACAAAAAGTAAATGATGATCAGTGAAGAGTCATGGGACAAAGCACTAGCACTAGCACTAGCACTAGCACTAGCACTAGCACTAGCACTAGCACTAGCACTAGCACTAGCACTAGCACTAGCACTAGCACTAGTACTTCAATTATTGCATCTCATCCTACCAATATCATCACATTGCTTGTACTTTAAGTGGATGATCATCATTGAAAAGAGGAAAACTCTAACTGAGAATTTTGTGCTCACACAACAAAAATTGAAAACAATAATCGTACAAATTTGAGAAGAAGTAAGAATTACTACTAGTACTAGTACTAGTAGCCTGAATTTGTTAAGTATAAAAATTGTTACTAGTAGTATTGTACTACTAGTAGTACTGCTACGTCACAAAAAGTGTTCGCGGGGTTTGGTCGCAACC